ACAGTGTGTCTGCAGGGCAGAGAAGAGCATGACAAAGCTTTTTGTTGTGGTGCTCTGTGAACAAGATGGAGGAACTATGAGTCAGCATTTCTCTTCCAGCGAGATTCTGAATGCGTTCTTTAAGACAATCTTTTATTGAATACTGACTATCTATCAAACATGCTGGATACTTTACATACTTATTTACTTCCCAGAACTAATTCTCTTTGGAATTAGCAACAGTACATGGAGAAAGGCCTTTCTCCCAGTTGAGCTTGCTTCTCAGGAGGCCTACCCCTCCCTGAGTCTCTAAGATGCTATGTGAGCCACTGTGGTGATGGAAATGGGTGGGCGCAGGTCTCTCAGGCACATCAAGTTAGGGAAAATGCTGAACGTCACCATTATGGAGAGGTCCTTGGTAGTAGGCTGCCTGCAGCGCTCTACCTGGCTCTGGCTTGGCTCCAACATTCTAGTTCATGTCTTGGGTGGAGCTGTAGAATAGCATGCTTATGCGGTGGGAAGACAGAAATGGAATGCAAGGAAAAGTAATATGCTGGATGACAGAACTAGGAATCTATGAAGAATTTACCAGACCACAAAGATAATCCAACAATAACAAAATAAATTTGATAAGAGGGCAGGGAATCCGGACTGCTCTTCAGACTCGAGAGGGAGGGGGAATGGGGTGGGGGGAGGGAGAGAGGAGTGAGGAGAGAGGGAAAGGAGTGGGAGGAGGGGGAGGGAAATGGGAGGCAGGGAGAAGGCGGAAATTTTTTCAATAAAAAAATAAAAAAAAGAGCAAGTGTGACATTTTGTGTTTGTTTTATAAAGCAAACAACATTCTTTTAAGAAATTACAGTTCTAAAGGATGAACTCATGACCAAGGTGGAAAAGTTAATGTAAACTCAGGTTATATTTATGAATTATTGTATAGGCTCTAAAATTGCAGCAATCAATCCTTTTATTCTGACCAGCATTTGTAGAGCCATAGCTCAAGTACTATGCTTGGTTATATTGTCTCTAAAGGGGGAATGAGACAAAATGGAGATTAAGAAAAGAAGCCAGGAAAGTGACTAGGCCATGATGGTTGTCTTCTGATATCTTTAGACTTTTCATGACTAAAGAGGATTTATCAGTACAATTTGACCCCAAGAGGCAGAATGAGAGTCATTGGATGGGGGCTCCTGCAGAGCTGCCTGGACAGTCTCAGTGGGAAGGAACTTGCTTCCTGTGAAAGGAAGCAGAAGCCACCTGACTTGTGCAAGTGGCTGAGCTGTGAGTCCCCAGATATAGCCTTAGTTCTTTGAGTATTTGGCTGGTGGGTGATCGGGTAATGATCAGAATGGAAGGACACAGAAGGGGGACTTGATCAGAATCCAAGGTTTTCTTTAAGTGGAAAATTTAAAAAATGTACATTTTGGCTCAGCCAAAAATGTCAGTTTTCACAGCAGTTAGGTAAATTATGGATTACTAACCTTTTTTGGACACGTTGTCCAGGTTGACCTTAGACTAGCTTTGTAGCCAAGGATGACATTTAATTTCTCATTCTCCTACCTCTGCTCCTAAGTGCTGGGATCATAGGTGTGTGTCATCAACTTGAACTCTGGACTTTGTGCATGCTAAGCAAGCATTCTACCAGTTGACCAACATCCATAGCGTTGTATGTTATCCCCCCCCCCTTCTTCTTTTCACAGATGAGAAAACGGAGGCTCAGAGAGGTCCCATGATTTGTCCAAGTTCATAAATCTTGTAAGTGACCCATGCAGAGTGCATCAGAGTCTTGGGGTGTGGGGAGGGGTACTGCATGTGCCTCAGGGTTGTCATTTTTACCTGATCATTTCTCCAGTTGAGTAACATGCTGATATTGCCAGAGGCGCATCAGGACTGTGCACAAGTACGTCATGTTGGGCTGGATGCCTGGAGCTGACGAGAGTATTGTGAAGATATATGATCAGCCTGCAGCCCAGCAGGTCCTGGAGGATGAGGTTGGAACACAGCTGAGCTATTACACAGGCCAAATGGCATGAACACTTATTCATAATGTCTGTACCTTCCCCAGAACAATGTCTGCTATAGATACTTGGAAGGATCCATCTGTAAGAAGACATGGAGACCTTCCCTTTAACAATCAGGGAAGTGTTGTCTAGAGAAGGGCAGGGAACTCTCCAAGTTTTTCTACTTAATGATTTTGTCCCTGATGGTGCCAGAAATTAATTTTTAATATAATCTAGAAAATTTAGGATTCAAAGCACATTCATTTTTGAGGGAAGACCAAATCCCTTGTGAACCTGGCTGCAAGACAGGTTTGGAGGGTTTGCTTCCATTTCTTCCTGATTATTGTATAAGCTAGCATCACGGAAATATAAAGGTACACACTCAGAGTGTTAGCCAGACTGGGACAAATTTCCTTCCTGAAGCCCAGAAGGAAATCCACTAAGAATTTTTTGAGGCAAAAATAGGACTAACAGTTTGGATCTAGTCCTGTGGAGGTGAAGGTGCCTGAGGCAGTCTAGATAGAGGAAACCCAGGGAGGGCAGAGTGCTGCCTTCTGGACAAACAGATTTGAGAATTACTAGCCAAGGAGCTGGGGAGATGGCTCAGCGGTTGAGAGCACTGCTTGATCTTCCAGAGGTCCTGAGTTCAATTTCCAGCAACTACATGGTGGCTCATCTGTAATGAGATCTGGTGCCCTCTTGAGGAGGAAACCTGGTCAATCATTCTCATCAACTTAGATCATGAAACCCAATATGGACAAGTTCAACAGAACCTTCATATATGGGCTGCCCATGCATACATGCTTCAGCATGGGCAGGGCATAAATTTCATTCATTTTCAACCAAGGGGATGGTATAGAAAGCCACATGTGTGGATAGCCTTACCTGGGGAGAAGGATCTCTTCTACAAGATGACTATTCAACCACATTTTTTCCAGTTGTCTGGGACTGATATGTCTAGATATTAGCCTCTAGATTTAACAAATGTGATAATTCTACATTTGTCTTGCATTCCAGTCTCCTTGTTAGCTCATTTGTCCTTTTGAGGACATATTGTATTCTGTTTTGTCATTCTTGGTATACAGTACTCTAAAGCTAAACCCAGTACTCCCAAAATGGTGTATAGTAAAAGGAAAATCATCTCCTTCATTCTGGACACTATCCTTTTATTGGTGTATCCCAAGGTTTCATTAATTCATTTTTTGGTATATTTTGCTCAACACTGCCATCTGCATATATGTATTAGAGCTAAATCCCCCTCAGTGCTTTAGCAGGCATACCTGATACACTATCCCATCTTCCTCAGTCGTTATGATATGCTGATTATTTGTGGCAGTGACACTCTGAGCTCATCTGGGCATCTTATTTTTTTTTAAAAAGCCTGATTCTGAGCTAATCTTTGTGTCATTTATTGTAGAAAAGGTTAAAATATAATTCCTCTCCCTCTTTGAGTCTCATTTTGCGATGTAGCTCATGCTGTTTTTGAGCTTGCTATATAGCCTATATTGGCCTCTAACTTGTAATCCTCCTGCATCAGCCTCCTGCGTTCTGGGATTACAGGTGAATGGCATTGTACTTGGCTACCAATTTTGTTTTAGGTCCATTTTCACACTATTTTTTTTCGGAACTGGCGATCAAACCAAAGTTCCCATGTCTTCTGTGTGATTGCTACTGGCACGCTGCACCTCTACCTCATTTTATTTTGGTTTCGAGAGAGGGTCTAATTAAATTACCTTGTCTGTCCTGGAATAAACATAACTTGGGCTGGTGTCAACCTTTCAACTCTTGCCCCAGTTTCTGCAGTAGCTGGAATTACAGGTTTGTGTACCCATACTCAGTTAGCTTGTACCCTCTTAAATGTTTTATGGCATCCTTGGACATTTTGTTTTTTTAAGCCACGTCTATTGATATTTTGCATGATAGAACTGAAAACAGAATTCAAAAATCAACTAATTCAAGAACAGATTCATCAAATTCAAAACAGTTCACAAAAACTTGTTTTGGAATGGAAACAATATTTTCCAAATAAAACATCTATGAATTGTGGTCTTTCATTTTTTTGGTAACTGTACTTAGTGTCTTCCTCATTCAGTCTTTTTCCATATCACATAGAGGCCATTGAATCCCCTGAATTCTGAGTTACACACAGTTGAGAACTGTCGGATGTGGGTGATGGGAATTGAACTTAAGTCCTCTGCAAGAGCAGCAAGCGCTCTTAATTTCTGAGTCATTTCTCCAGTCATATCACGTAGTTTCTTTTTTAGGCTTCTGTGTTTGGAGAAGCCTGCACCGGGAGCTGAAATGGCACAGTTCTCATGATGCGGTAATTCTGACTTGTGCCTGTGCAAATTTATTTATTTATTTATGACATATACAACATCCTACTTCCATCTATCCCTGTATGCCAGAAGAGGGCACCAGATCTCATTATAGATGGCTATGAGACATCATGTGGTTGCTGGGAATCGAACTCAGGACCTCTGGAAGAGCAGTCAGTGCTCTTAACCTCTGAGTCATTTCTCCATCCCCTCATGTAATTTCTTAACATTAGGTCATTTTGATTCCATGAGTTCCTCTGGAAGAGTTTTGGTACCCTCAGAGGTCCCTGAGAAATATAAGATTTTCTAAAATACCCGATGCTGCATGAGACATGAATGTGCTTTAGCAGTGACCATTTTCTTATTACAAAAAAAAAACCACAAAACTTTTTTTACATAAAACATCAAACACTGTAAGATTCTACAACTATGGATTACCCAGAATATAGAAATTCAAGATACAGAATAGAGTAGTGGTTAATGCTGGTGAAGCAGGAGAGAGGATGGGAGTTCCTGTGTATTGGGTACAAAGTTTCAGTTTGGGGAGCTGAGAAAGCTCTGGAGGTGAACAGCTGTGAACAGTGGGACTGTGGTAAGTGCCACTGAACTGTGTGATTAAAAAAGACTTTGTGTTCTCTATAGTTTAACATGATTTAAAAATGCAGACTTCAGATACTTAGTCGCCCATATTCTGCCTCAACAGCTTTACCACGAGGCACAGAATCGGCTCTAGAAGTGTTTCAGAAAATACTGCCCCCATTTTGTGGTCTGGAGAGATCCCTGCTAGTCATCGGCTTCTGGCTTCCCTGCTATCCTGCTGCCCCACAGAATGCAGCTACTAAGTGGCCTAAGAGCCAGCACCTTCATGGAGTGGTGAAGGTAAGGTCATCCTCCCCTTCTTTTCTCTTTTCTGGAAATTGCTCATGTATTCCAGAACTGACCTACCTGTGTTTGAAGAAGCCTGCGCCGGGAGCTGGAATGGCACAGTTCTCATGATGCGGTAATTCTGACTTGTGCCTGTGCAAATGATTTCACACATCATCCATCAAATGAAGTTCAGATGTATTATTAAGAAGAATTTTTTAGAATAAAACATGTATATATATATATATGTACACACATGTATATATCAAAATGTAAATGACTATATTATATCATCTTCCAATGAACTAAATATATGAAATAATAAGAGGGAAGAGTTATATGCATTCATAATTAAAAATGTAAAATTCCATGAAATCATAGATGACATTAAAATATGATTGGTCATCTGGGCACTCAGACAATAATACAATAACGTGCATTCTGTCTTTACATGATTTGCATATTTGCAAAATCACCCATTTGCTGCAATTTAGTGATATATTCAAGATCAATTCTTGCATTTGTGTGGGCATATTTGGACAAATGCAGTGACCGAATACCCACAGTTCAGGCTTCTAGCAGAAGCCCAACTCTGCGTTTTGTTTCCAGTCTTAGGCTGCTAATAAAGATCTCTGCATGGTGTGTTTAGTACCACAATCATCACATTTTTTATGATTTCACTGTTCAAAATACCAAGATAGTGCTGTCTAGTGCTTCTAAACTTAAGAAGGCTGGTCTATACCTTACAGATAAACCATGGGTATCACATGCACTCCAGCCATTTGCGACAATGCTGCTGGCTGTGATTTTGTTGTTAATAAATCAGATCTATATGCTATGGGTTAGCAATCACTAGTACAGTGTTTGCCATGGTTTTATCCAACATCAATTGTGAATAGCAAGAAGCATGATTATGATCAGATGTGCTGATTCCATGAACTACTTGTCAATTTATGAATGAAACAATGTGATCTTCATCAAAAAGCAAGCTGTAGAAATCTATAGGTTAAATGACTAGAGAGGGACAAACAAATCACACATGTTAACATTATTGAAAACCCTTCCATTTTACTAATGATAAAAGAATTCAAGTTGGAGTAACAATGACAGGTCAGAGTTGTTGCTTATCATATTAGAAAGGATTTATGAACTGTGCTGGCCACAGTGCAATGATCTTATCGTTCTTGTATACTACCACTGGATTAAATCAGCATGACATCATAGGAAGTGGCTTGGTAAATTTGTATAAATTTTAGTACCTCATGACAGAGAAATTGAACTTCAAAGTATGTCTTCTGAAAAATATATGTTTGGCTACAGATTTATACACCTTTAGTATAATGTTATCTGTAAAAGCAAAAATAGGGAACATAGAGGAGCCTTTGAAGAGAGGGAACAGATATACTATGGATTGAAAGAAGACAAAAGCCTTCCAAAATTATTAAATTATTTTCAAAGAACAGTTGATGATGTGAAAAAAAATTTTAACTCCATTGAAATAAAACAGATGTCATATAAGTTAAAAATTATGTTACACTTACATCCTATACACTGAACTAAGTCAAGTTGAAAATCAATCAGTTTCAGGGTGAAGCACACTTTACTTTAGCACATATGAGTTGAGGGAACCTCCTAACTTGCTCCTCAGTAGCCACATACCTCATTTAGTTGGACTTGCCTTAGGAGGTGGGATAATGAGTTGGAATTGATTTTACTGTACTACACCAGGCCAGAAGGAATAGACTCACCTTTGGCAATGCATAGAAAGGAAAAATTTCATTCAGGCTTCTGTGAAAACAGATGAACTGCCCCAGTTTTGGGAGGCTTCAAGAAGAAGATGACTTTGGAGATGAGTTACAAAGGATATGTAGAATTTTAAGGTTGAAATGCAGGGTAAGTATTGACTTTTTCAGCCTCTAAGTGACAACGATGCCATTCTAGACTCTGAAGTCAATGACTTTAAGAGGCGTTGAATGTGATTCTCCTTTGTGATGTATATACCCAGAATTTTCTAGTACTTTACTCTAGGGTCCAGGTAAGTTGTCATGTTCCACTGTTCTGATTTGATTTCAATAGAGAAAAAGACATAAAGAAATATTTCAGGAATTGTACAGCATCTACTAAGGTGCGTGTGTATAGAACATGGAGAATGTATAAAGACAGTGGAGAGATGATAGCAAAGAGAGGATGAGAAAGAAACAAATGTTGGTTGAATACAAGTGAGCTCTCACAGTACTTAGGCCATTTGATTTTACCGAAGACGCTAGAGGCCATTAGGTAGGCATTCACTCCAAATTCCAGTGTTGCCTATGAGAAGCGATGGGGACCTGAGGGATAGAGAGAGAGAGAGTTGCAAATGGACAGTGGAAGTGGTTAGAAGCAGCTGCACATGGAAATGATTTTACAAACTAGCTACAATGGAGGGTCGAAGATTATTAACTGGCCTAACTCTAAGGCAAAGATAGTCAAGGAGAAAATGAATCCACAGAACTGTACCAAAGTTACAAGAAACAGGGACTATGACCATCCTGCAAATTGCAGACCATGGTACCAGTAGGAAGGGTTTGGAAATTTGAACTTGTTCTCCCTGGCAGGAAAAGGCTACTAAGAGAGGTTGGGAATTAAGAAGAAGAGGATATTGGATGAAAGGACATTCTCTACTTTACACTTGTGCGCATACTAGTTCCCTCTGCTTTTGGAGTACCGGGCCATGTTCTAAGTCAGTGACTAGCATGCAGCTATGCCAATATTTGTAAATGTATCTACCATCTCTAGAAAAACACAGAAGAAACAGTGATCACACCCAGAGAAGAGAACCTGGTAGGAGTGGGGAGAACACTTACTCCATTTTGTACCTCTTGAACTTGCATTATACATGCTACCTCCTTCCAAGAAGAAAACTATGAAACACACAGACATTCTCTCTCTCTCTCTCTCTCTCTCTCTCTCTCTCTCTCTCTCTCTCTCTCACACACACACACACACACACACACCTACCTTCATGTTTACCAGAATATTTCCATCTGCTGAACTATAATCACAAAGTTTCCCTTTCTTATCCGTGAAGCCTTTCCCTGGCCATTAAACCTGAATTCTATTCTTACTGACCACTTGGCATAGGATCCAGTTGGCAGAATGAAGCAGAGCTACCAAAGGTAGCCTTTGAGTGGAAAGGGGACACACATTTCGTAAAGTGGGACCCTCAAGTCAGGAGCACTTCTAGTATTGGTATTTCTTCATACTATTGAGTAGAAGACCAAGAAATTTCTTCACTGGTTTGAAGATGAAAGAGAAAAACCTGGAAACAAAGATTTGTTGAGAGAAGCTGAAGAAAAGGGCCAAGGCCAAGTCAGGCAGAGGCTTAGTAAGGCTGAGCTATGTTGAGATAGAGTTTCAAGTGAATGGTTCTGAAAGCCTAGAAAAGCTGCTCTCAGCTACCAGACCCTTTAACAAACCTACCCATGGGCATTTATTTATATGAGCAAACTAGTCTTTTGGCATCTGCTGGGTTTTATCAAACTTCTTCAACAAACTTTGAATGCCTATTGTGAGGAAGATCCAGCCAGAGCAGTGGTCATGGGCATTGACAAAGGAGAGAAAGTTTCTGTGAGAATCAATGGTTCTTGAATGTGGGTTTTGTGATGGATTAGAACCCAAGTGCTGTGGATGCTAACAGAGCCGATATAGTGCTTGGTTCCTAGTAGGTGCTCAGTAAGTGTTTGTGACATAATTCGTTTATTGAGCACCTCCTATCAATCAAGCACTGTGCTAGGCTCTGGGACCACATAGCTAAGTTAGACATGATGCTCCTCTTGGAGGCCCTTATGTCTAGTAGTGGCTACAGTAGAATTAAAAATACTATTTGATTAATACTAATAATAGCAGTATTGACAGGGATAAGAGAACTTGCCCAGGAAACAGAAGCAGGTGGCACTGTGGGAAGGGGCAGTGACTATACCATTTATTCAAAAGAAAAGGGGAGAGAAAGGGGCAGCAACTGGAGAGGTAAGGCTCAGGCACTTTGCCTTAAAAAATGAGAGGTTTGAGCATGATGTTCCCATTAGAGAGGACAGGGATAAAGATTCAGGAGTTAAGGCAGTGAGCAAAGGAAAGACATGAGGCTATCGAGGTGATATACAGTAGAAACTGGCCAGGATTTCCAGGAAAAACTCTTTTGAGGCAGGAGAGTGTGGCTTTGCAGGTTGTACCAGGAGATGATGGAGCAGGTTATGAGTATGGAAAGGGGAGTGACTGGCATAATGAATTACAGATCCCAGGCCAGTCAGAGAACGTAATTATGCTGAATGAGTCTGGTAAATTGGGAGATATCAAGAGGTCTAAGAATGCAAGTTAGAGAAACAGAAAAATCCTCAGGGGAACAGAGAGTATGATCTAAAAGATGACACAGGTGGGGCAGTTTTCGGTGATGAAATGATCCTGGGTGTGACCCAGGATGTGGATAAATGATGTAGGTATAGGATGAGGTTATGGTGGTTGAACCAAAGATATTTAAATGCCTCTGATCATACAAAGACTCGCACCGGGAGTCTAGGAACAATTAAGGTTTGGGAGACCATAAGCGGATGCCAGTGACAAAACTTGGTGGGAGAATGTAAATGTCTTAGCCGCCCTTTACCTGAAAACGGAGGTGAACAAACGTGGGTTGTGTATTTGTGAGCTTGGCTTCTCCTTTTCACAAGGTCCTTATGGGAATGAGATGAAAGGTTCCAGCTACAGTGAGAAGGAACCAGTGTCTACGGAGTACAGTCTGTCCCAGCAGTTCCAGTCTATATCCTTAGCTGCCAAAAGCCTAGCTAAGGATAAGGCAGTGCATTGTTTGTGGCTAGTCAGTTAGCATGCAACTCCGCAGAAGCGTTGAGAAGTGAAGGAATGGAGAAGACCAGAATCACACAAAGGAATGGAAACAGTATGCTCCAGGTTAATTCCCAGAGAGTGTACTGCCTGCTGACCTGCTCATATCTTTTCATGATCTGTACAGGAACAGGAACGAGTGA